ATTCAAAACGTAATAATCACTTTAATGTAGCTTGCGCTCACTGTTGTACATGGAAGCAGGTACGGGCGGATGACGTATGGAGGTCGGCTTTGCGCATGCGCCGCTCAGAATTGAAGCACGCGCAAGCGCAGGGGAGAGATCAAAACAAAACAACGGTCACTTATTAGAAGTACAAAACGAGGATTTGTAAAGAAGAATGTCAGAGGATTTCGATATAAGCCAAGAGGAGACTGGTTTTCCTTTGCTTCCTTTGCTCCTGTTAACAAACGTTGGTTTTCACGAGACTCACTGGCGCATGCGCAACGCTGACCTCATATGTCATCCTCCCGGAACTGCTTCCGTGTACAACTGTTGGCACAAGCTACATTAAAGTGATTATTACGTTTTGAATATGGATATTTTTCTTAAAAAAACACATCGATTAGCTACAGAAGGCCTTTGTTCACCCCCCGGGGCTGTGTGAGGCACTTTTTTTTTATGGCTGGGTGCTTTTTATTTAACTTTTTTTGGACTGATGCATGTAACACCCGCTGAGTGCCATGAAACAGCTTGAAAGATCAAAGACAATTTTTAATATAACTCCGACTGGATTCGTCTGAAAGAAGAAAGTCATATACACCTATGACTTGAGGGTGAGTAATTTATGGACTATTTTTCATTTTTGGGTGAACTAACCCTTTAACGTTAAAAAAGAACCACCAGCAACAGAAATCAAAAGCCCAGATGCTGCATTTCTTATATGCAGCATCTTAACATATTCCTGGACTCACCTGTAGGCTGCACCTGCGGTACTCTCTGTCCGGTCCAGAGCATCTGTAGTTGTTGGCGGCCGCTGGAGGCCTCCCGTCCCTCTCGGCTTCATTTCTGGAGGGCTGGGCAGCGATCTGCAGGACCCAGGGCTCAGGGTTTGGGTTTGTGGGAGTCTGGAGGCCGTAGGGAGGAGGCTCTCTGGGAGTGTGCGATCGGTGGATAGAGTGCGTGTAGGAGTGTGGGACTTGGCGAGAAGAGCGGCCCACGTGTCTCTGGGTCAGGGGCTGTGAATGTGAGATTCGCTCGTGTTCCCGTACTCTCTCCACGCGTCTGTGCGGCTCTCCATCACTTGTTCTCTCGGCTGCCACATCACTCTCCACGTCTGCTGCCTCCGTCTCCTTTTCCTTCTCTTTTCGTTCCCTATCAACAGTGTCTGTAATAATTAGTCCCTCTTCTCCCTGTGTTTTGTCCACATGTGTGCTGGAGTTCACACTGAGAGCCTCGAGACTGTCTGTGATGGTGGTGTTGTGGTGGCGTGTGTGTCGCGTATGACGGTTTTGTCTGTGTAAGGGAAGAGAGAACGGCACCCTGCCGTACCCAAACTGTCCAGGACGAATAGAAGAACTAGACCTGGTGTGACGGAGAGAGAATAACATGTATGAGTATGCTGGAAACAGGCCTGTAGGACAAATATAGTATTTTTCAATAGAACTGCGCAAAGATGAACATGTTAGACATCAAGATATCAAAGCCAAAAGTAATAAAAATCCCATTAAAGCTGATGTTGAAAAAGGGTGTGTGAAAACCACTATTTCAAATAAATGCTGTTCTTTTGAACTGCCTATTCATCAAAAAATCCTGAAAAATAAAATGCATCACAGTTTCCACAAAAATATTGCGCAGCACAACTGATTTTAACATTGATAATAATCAGAAATGTTTGTTGAGCAGCAAATCAGCATATTAGAATGATTTCTGAAGATCATGTGACACTGAAGACTGGAGTAATGATGCTGAAAATTCAGCTTTGATCACAGCAATATTTTTAAATTCTAATAATGCTTCACAAAATTTCTAAATTGTGACGTGACGTGTGGCCAAGTATGGTGACCCATACTTGGAATTAGTGCTCTGCATTTACCCATCCAAAGTGCACACACACAGCAGTGAACACACACACACCGTGAACACACACCCGGAGCAGTGGGCAGCCATTTTTGCTGCGGCGCCCGGGGAGCAGTTGGGGGTTCGGTGCCTTGCTCAAGGGCACCTCAGTCGTGGTATTGAAGGTGGGAGAGAGCGCTGTACATTCACTCCCCCCACCTACAATCCCTGCCGGTACGAGACTCGAACCCGCAACCTTTGGGTTACGAGTCCGACTCTCTAACCATTAGGCCACGACTTCCCCGTCTTGGTGAACAGAAGAGATTTCAAAAACATTACCAAATCTGGCCACTAAAAGCCCTGTATCATGAACTTCATGTGCACTTAAGCACAGTATGTGTAGTAAAATGACAAAGCATCGCCACCTGACTTGGAAGCACGCAGCACATTCAGATTATATATTTATTTAAATCACCTTTTGTTGGACATGTTGCAATATATGTATCATGCAAACCTAGCTATGAATGAGCTATGCTTATGTGAACAGATAGGTCCTCCCTAAAGGCAACCAGTCCTGCTCACCTTCTTATAGACGCTGGATCCCTGTTGTTGGAAACCGACCTCCTGCTCCCACTGCCTACAACTCTGCCGTGATTGGGTGACCGTGCGGGAACTCTCCCGTAGGGAAGTGAAGCTGATGAGGAAGGTGAACGGTAGACTGAAGCTGTCTCCTGATTGGGTGGGCTGAACTGCACTGGCCCAGCACCGCCGGCTTCGTTTCGGTAGAGCGGTAAACCAGGATTGGGATTGGCTGGAAGAGGCGGGGAAAAGTAAGGAGGCCTCTCAGCGCCCCCTGCTCCATATGGAGGGGGCTCGTTGACGGAATACAAGGAGTTGTAGTAGGGTCTGACCGCAGAGATCACAGGGGTGTTGTTCGGGACACCCGGTGGAAGGTAAGCCGGTCTGTTCCACATAAGAGGCGGGGTTTGGGGCGGCGGCATACACTGTCTCCGCCTCTCGGACACGCCCACTCCACAGCTCTGAGAACACTCCACCCACTCGCTCCATGGACCCAACACCCCTTCAAGCGCCTCCTCCTCTGCCTGACGAGACTGTCGTCCTGCCGCCTGTCAAAGGAAGGCCTCATAATTATATACAGTAAGTAAATATGCCACATATCTGAATTTTTAAGTTTCAGACTCAGACCTAAATATATATATATTTCTGTCATGACAACTCTCGGAGGGATTGGCATGGTAATGTACATGACAATGTTAATGTATTTGGTCTTGGCGGAATAGATCTGCTACGCTGCTGCTGCTCCTGCGGCAGAGCAAGTACTGAGACTTGCTACTGCCAATACATCCACAACATGCTGCTGTGAGCATGTAAGAAATATTGCTGCTGCAAATATAACATACATGAAATAACCCCCATATAGCATACATGAATCACCTCGTAGCAGATCTATACAGGTGGAGCTGGGGAAGGTGGAGGGTTTCAGAAAGCAAGCTGCAACTGCTACTGCAAGCACTAGTCATATATTTGAATGTTGAGCAGCGAGCTCATTGGCTACCGATACAGGAGAGAACCAATCAGCTGTGCCATGTGATAATGATGTCATTAGGTCAGATTGAGTTAGACCTATCGGACTGCGCCATCTAGAGTTTCATGCCAGAACTCTCTCTCTCTCTCTCTCTATATATATATATATTCCACATGCACAGCTGTAAAAACAAACATCTCAGAAAACTGCAAAACTAGCCAGGGTGCTTAAGCTGAAACTGAAACCTAATAACCAGCCGTAATTACAATTATTTAAGAAGTCTGATCAATATCAAATTACATAGTACAAATCACAAGATTAAACAACCAAAGCATGAACAATTGTTTTGAAAAACAACAACAAAAAAAAACTGAATAATTCCCCAAACCACACCCAACATTATGCAAGTTGAAACACATGTCCTGTTCTATTGTGCTCAGTGATGAATGACATTATGACTAAGAAAGAGGCATAATTAAATGAATGGCGTGTGCTGCATTCAGGAAGAGGCTGGACTCTGGAGTTCAGCCCAGTGCAATGACATTCTTTACAGTGCTGGATGCAGATCTGATCTAATTCCAGTTACTTATATAACCTCATTTCACCAATCAGGAGTGAAGAATTCGAGCGTCTGCAGGGCAGGCAGAGGTAGAAGGGAAGAAAGCAACAAACAAAAGAATCCATTGAGTTCACAAAATAGAGAGGAAAAAAAAAGACAAGAGAACAAGGCCTGTAATGCACCTCTGATCCTGTCTAAACTGCCAACGAGGTCACACAATGCCGGCCTGTGTCTGCACTGATGTGTGTGTGTGTGTGGATGGACGGATAGATAGACAGACAGACAGACAGATTGTTTTTGGAGCTGCATTAGCTGCAGTAGCCAGTATAATCAGTGTGTGTGTGTGTGTGTGTGTGTGTGTGTGTGTGTGTGTGTGTGTTTTTCTGTGTTTTATTGTGTGTGTGTGTGTGTGTGTGATTTCCTGTCTGTTATAACATCTAGCATGCCGCAATGTTTGAAATGCAAGGAAAAACAACAAACTAATTTCTAGTTTTCTATGGCATTTGTCTCGAAGTATTTCTACAATAAACTGTTGTTGAAATAAAGCAGAACAGTGTGCAAACTACACACGCACATCAAACTCCCAGCGAGAGTCTGCCACTGCAGCTCCTCCTGTAGCTCTGGTGGTCTTCACCCTGTGTGTGTGTGTGTGTGTGTGTGTGTGTGTGTGTCTGTGTCTGTGATTTTTTTCACACCAACGCCCAATCACACCCACATCTCACATGCTCCCAAAGGACAACCCCACATCAGAGGCCAGATGACCAAACAATGGAAAGATCAGCTCTGATTTAGTGGTCAGATCCAGCACTGGCCGCAGGGGTTGACAACGTTTATCTGCGCTTCTCTCAGAGCCACAGAAGACCCATTCAGCTTCAGCCGGTCAGATGAGACTCACAAACATATGGCAACACTCTGACAAGCACTTCTCTCTAATTACTATCAGAGAGAAGTGCAAATGATGTGACGTCTCTTTAGACACACAGCTCTGCTGTCAAATGTAAAATCATCATCATCTTTATCATCATCACTCACCGGCTTCTCTGCTTCCTCAGCTGCTGTTAAGTGCAGGACAGCAAACACACAACACCAAAACGCACACAATCTGTGAGCAAGAGGAGAAACACATATGAAGAAGAGTAACATTTCAACTTGATCATGTTGTGACATTAAAAGATACTGTGATGATGAGACACTATTTGAACACATGATGAGCACTGAAAATTATAGTGTCTGATGGGGTCAACGAGAGGCTGGTTAGATTAACCTCTGGACGATTAGGAAAATACTTCCAATACTTCCCAATGACTTTCCCAGAATTCCTCCTGACAGGCCGTTCCCCACCCTGCCCGGCTCCTAGTGGAAGTTCCTCTGGATATTATTTATCCTCAAAACATTCCCATATCAACCACATTTAAATGAAACACCTTTAACCCACATGCTAAGGTTCTGGTTGGTGGCTTTTCATAGTAAAAATACTTAACATTGCATCATATAGATATTTGTTGTCCTAATTTTATGAAAAAAAATTAGTTTTCAAAATAACAATGTTCCAGATGATAAATGCTACTTCTGTTTATAGAACACCTGAAATGGTTAAAGCACATTTTAAAGATAAATGTAATCTTGGATTATCTTGTTCTTTACTCTGGGTTAGCAATTAATCCAGAATGATCAGGTCAAAATTCACATTGTATATTCTAGTAACTTTACTTAAGGCCTGTTTATACCAAAGACGATAACTATAAAGTTGAAATTATCATTTTAATTCTCAAAATAGGATATTTTTGGGATCAGTTTTTCACCCCCCAGCAGATTAACAATAAAAAACACTGACAGCCAATCAGAATCCACCGGACTTGAGCATTTAAAGATCTTGAGAATTTAAAGTGGCAGATGACAAAATGACAACATGTGCTTATGATAATCTGAACATTATTGCGTGTTGGTGTAGACGCTGATAAAGTTATTATTATAGTCATCGTTCTTGGTGTGAATGGGCCTTTACCTTGGGGTAAGGACTCTTCTAAGCCACTTTTCACACTTAGCATCGCTTTTAACCCTGGTTTATTAAGCAAGGTGAAGCAGTGCTAACCCTGAATTGTGGTGCCAAGTGTGAAACAATGCCGTGCTCAAATGTTGCAGCGAGCTGTTTAGCAACAGACAACTGAACATGAAGTGTCTGAGTGGTTAACCCATTAAATACACATTAGTGGTTATGTTCGGCATCTAAAGGGTAAACACTGACAGCATTAAGCACGGAATTGAAGAGACAGTGCTATTTATTAGCAAATTAATGTGACGATAATGGGCAAGCTGTTAATGATGGCACATCAGTTTTCAATTATACTGTGTAAGTCTTTAAAATGTTAGTAAATAAAAGTAAAAAATAAAAATAAAAAGACATGATCACACAGAATTAGCTTTGTTTGGGCATATCTGACAAATATAAACAAATGTTCAGTTATGAATAAACAGAACTATATAATATCTCTATCTCTATATAGTTATCTCTAATAACTATATACATATCTCAGCTGTTTTATTCAGATTTCAAGAAACCAGAATATTGGTTCAATCTGATTATGGAAACCATGACGTTTAAATATTCAGAATATGTACTCAATGTTCACTTTATATTGACTAATATCAGAATATGCTTGTAATGGTTCCACAAAGTCTTGACGAACAGTTTCAAAAATGATTAATTACTAACTCAAAGCAACATTTGAACAGTTCGAAACATGGAACAAGATTATGTTTAAAATAAACCTGGATTAGAAATATCAAGCATATTGCATTATGTTATCGGGGCCAAATCGACCCCAAACAGAAACGAAGTTACTCTACAGCAGATAATCACGTTTCTGAAAGTGCATGACCACTTAAAGCAACATCTGTACACTCTTAAAAATAAAGGTGCTTCACGATGCCATAGAAGAACCTTTTTGCCCAAATGGTTCCATAAAGAACCTTCAACATCTGAAGAACCTTTCTGTTTCACAAAGGGTTCTTTGTGGTGAAAGAAGGTTCTTCAGATTATAAAAAGTAAGAAAGAGATGGTTCTTTAAAGAACCTTTGACAGAATGGTTCTTTGTGGAACCAAAAATGGTTCTTCTATAGCATCGCTTGAAGAACCTTTTGAAGCACCTTTATTTTTAAGAGTGTATGTGTTGTAGTAATTAGGTCAGAGGAAAATTGTTTACATTTTTGAAGTGAACATAATGGGTTAATTTCAAAATCCCAGGTCCACAGTACAGCGCAGGGGTCTAACACTTAAGGAGTCCATCTAATCTGCCTGATGAGTTTCCACATCATCTGTGGTTTACTATTAGCTTTTCAGAACAGTGTAAAATGATGCATGACATTTTGAGTGCAGCCGCAGACCCGTAATCACAGGCGTGGGTTAAAGCGGCGCGCCACGGAAACCATAAGGACAGCATCGGGGCAGAACTGCAGAGTCCCAGCGCGCTCAAGCCGCAGTAACGACCCCCCGCCTCCGGCCACGTTTCCCACCCGCCCGCTGCAGACTAGGCTACTGGAGAAACCCGCCACAAAGCCTACAAGAGCCCTGCTACTGGCGCTTCAAACGCACCAAATGATCCGACAGGAATGTCACGAATCAGAGTTCGAACCGCTTCATCACAGTGACATTGGAAACGTTTAAAAGCGAACTTAAATTGGACGTAAACCAACGCAATCACAACCTGCCGCGAAGTGCATGGACCTTTTCTTCCAGGCTTAATTTCTTATACAGAAATCGTGTTGAAACTCAGGGAAATGAGATGATTTAAGGGTTAAATTGATGGAAACAAATGTTGTTAAAAACATTTTATAGTAGCTAATTTAGACGATCAATATAAAGGGATATTAAATAAAATCCTCTAATCATGCAAAACTTACTGGATATAGCCTACGTCTGGGAAATTTCAAGATTTCAACTTTCATAAACATATCCTAGCCTACCATGAAGAAATGCTTTGTAATATTTTGCTTTTTGAGTCCGTTAGGATCTATTCCAAATTATGATTTAGCATTAGCATTCATTTAGGATTTTGGACCTAAATGTGAAACATGCATACATTTATTTCTTCATTAGTATTTATGAAGATGTATTCGTATATCCGCAGCCGCCCAGTCCAGTCGTCTGATCTGAGCAGGAACAGTCTACTGTAATTGTAAATCTCTTGGTTGTGATCGAGCCCGACTCGAACCCGTGTCCGACTTCTTCCCCCTGCACCCGCAGCCAGTGGACACTTCACGTGTCTCCATCCGATACAATGATGCGCAAAAGTCACAAACGTGCCCAAAAGTGTCACGTTACCTGCTCGCGGATCCGGTCTTCATTCTCTCCTCACACGGGCGTCTGTCTCCGTTCTGCGTCCAGACTGTGAAAGAGCGAAGGAAACAAACACAAGATCCGCGGAGCTGCTTGGCGAACTTTTCCTGGTTTCTTCAGACTCGTCTCTGTTCTGTCACACACACACACACACACACACACACACACACACACACACACACACACACTCCCCTCGAGTAAGAGAGGGAGGGGTGTAGGTTTTTTTCCCCTGTAGTTCACCCGATAACTTTTTTTGTCCTTGTGTGAAGCTGGTGTGACGCTGAACAGCTCGGGGGCCTGCAGGGGCCCCACAGACTCTGTCTCTCGCTCTCTACTTATCTCTCTCTCTGTCTGTCTCCATCTGTTTTTCTTCTCTTCCCCTCCCTCTCATAGCACTCCACTCCTCTCGCTGGTTTCTCCATGTCTTCTGTTTTCTCGGACGCACACCTGTACATCATGTACATCAAATTCTGCTCAGCAGTGAGCGCCACATGAGTTCAGAATCACACAGATAACAGCTCTATTAATAGTTCATAATATTTACTTTTGATATCACCACATCGCGAGACTAGGGTTAGTTTTCACTCTTTTTACCACAGTTTCTCTCATTACTGAAAATCCATTTCTGTACAAACATCTTAAGGCTGCATGGAACATTATTGGCTTTTCTGTCATTGCAGCCCAGGAAAACACATACTTGAACACACTCTGACCTTTTGAACAGTAATGGGGCATGTTGTCATACCGTATGATGGAATAATGGAACGTGCAGCAAAATATAAACAGTAACATAATTATGAAAAATACCAAATTTAAAAATGTCACACTAATTAAATATGAAATAATTGATAAACATACAATAATTAAATATTGTTTTAATTAACATTACATTAATATTTTTTATATATATATATTAACATTCATATGTTTGTATTGTTTCAGCTACTATTTAAATTTAGCTGAAAAGATGTTAGGGTTAGAAGTTTGTGACAAAATACCCCACAAATATTTAAGTATAAATTCACATTTATTTAGCATTTATTATAGGTGATGATAACTTCTCCCTGCCTCACCTGTGTTCACTTATTTATTTAATAATATATATATATACTTCTTATAAGCATCTTGGTTTGACAACTAGCCCAGGTCTGCTTATTTGATTTATTACAAGTTTCTTTGCCACCAACAGCCAAAGAGACAGTGGTGTGGAAACCATCCACATTACTTGTTTTAATATTTGGTAAATCCAGATTTTCATACTTTTGACCCCACTTTATAGATATGAAAAGTCTGAGACTGCACTGAAATTTTTAGGACTTGAAATGCGTGAAACAACACTCTCAATAAAGCTCAAGAGAGATCAGCATAATAACTCCTAATGATTGGGGATATTTTTATTCAGACCTCAAAATGAACAGATATATATCAACATAACTTCAATGAGAATAAATGACTTAATTAAAAAGAGTTGGCCAGTCTGATTGGGTCGCAGTTGCTCAGAAGTCTTTAAAAGGAGATAATAATCTTGAAAATGCACTGAAAATCATGGTGGCGTGAAAATGACAGCATGTGTTTACTGTTAAGGGAGGGGTGTAGAGATAATAAAGCACTGAGAACGAGCCCCGTCAAGCATGTCAAGATACACAACTCATGACTGATGAATCCCACATGAAAACTGTATATACATTTACAAATCACTGATTCAAGGGCCACTGTGTGGTTTTGTCTGTAAGCACGTGCGACGTGAACAAAGTTCTGTGAGAGGTGAAAGGAAACTCTATTAGAGACATTCAAAGCCTGTGTACATATCTAACAAACAAGATAGCATATCATAATCACACTGAGAGAAATGTTGGGTGACGGCTGCACTTCAGTGCTTAAACACTGGATAAATGATCATGCCTGTTTCTGTGGGTGTTTTCTGACCTATTTTGGATTAAATCATAACCTGCAGATATAATGGCAAATCTGAGTAAAGCAGAGGGGAAAGATGCTAGAGGAGCAAAATTAATACAGAGACGTTGAAAGCTGAACAAAATGCATGTTCAAACATTATGCCAAAGATCTTAAACGTCTCAAATAATCTAGTAAGATTTTCTGATTATTATCGATGTGGAAAACGGTTGTGCTGCTTCATATTTTTGTGGAAACCGATTTTATTTCAATGAATCGTTTGAAATAGAAATCTTTTGTAACACTACAAATGTCTTTGCTGTAACTTTTGATCAATTTAACGCATCCTTGATGAATAAAAGCATTAATTTCTTTCAAAAAGAAAAAAGTCGACAGAGATGTATTGACTTTAATAGCATAGGCTGTGATATTCCAACATGCATTATCAGTGTTCTTGCATGTACTTGTGTGTCAGTATCTGTAATTAATATTAGATTAGTTTGATCTCACCATAGCCCAGCGAGACCCTTACGTGACCCTAAAACAGCCTGACTGAGAGTTCTGCTGACATGAACCCATCCTCATATTACAGAAGACAAAACATCTGAAATATTTGCTTTTTAACCATGAAATCAGAATTAGAGTGTTGCATCTTAGTTTTGAACTCATATATTTTCTAGTGCCCTCTTAAAAGATGACTAAATCAACTTACAGCGGATAGCAAGTAGCAAATCAAGTTAAAGCTAAAGACTATCCTATACGAAAAAAGGACACTTTATGTATTTATTATGGCAATAATATATTATAAAAGTGCAAACTGGATGTAATGTTTTTGGAAATTTAATTGCATGTTGACTGAAGTTAAATAAAAATGTACCATAATTGAAATTTATATTAAATGCGATTAGTTGAATGTTAGAGTGCTTTTTGTACCATTTAAGACTCAAGTACATCTCTATATGTAATTTCATAATTCTATTCTTTGAAATATGGTTGTGTACTGACAAGCATTTATGATAAACTAAAATATACTTTAATGTAATTTCTATTCAAACTTGTATGTCATGTATTTACATATATTTTTAATCACACATTTGTAATGATGAATTTTATTTGCAATTTAATTAATTTTTTTAATGTTAATTTTGACTGTAATATCAAATAAGACAGTACAGTTAAACTTATAATCTTTACAAAGTACTTTACATGTGCATTAGTCTTTAAGTGCACTTAAATGGTCTTTTACTTCAGTAATGCAAGTACAGTTGTTTAAAAATAAACTTTTAAGTTTTAAGTACACTACAAGTGCACATTCATTACAATTAAGCACACTTATATTTAACAAGGTATTGGCTGTTAAAAAAAAAAAGGAGTGACAACAGCTGGGATGCGTCATATGTGAGTTACACGCCCAGGTTCAAGTTTATCACATCTAAACATGAACAATGATAACAGCTCACCCTAGTAAACATCAGTAAAAAGCAGAGGGAATAAAATGTGCTAAGTGTAGGGCGCTAAAGGACTCAAGGGAGGAAAGAAGATAAAGATAGAGATGAAAAGAAACATGCCTACTGAGAAGAAAAAACTTTGCAGTAAAACATCCACATTCAGCAAACAGAAAAAGTGAGCGAGAGAGGGAGAGGCTGAGACAGAAAGATTGGTTTGGGTCAGAGGGAGTCAATATTTGCCTCATTCCAGTGATATTATGGCCGTGGAGATCAAAGAACTGACTGTGTGCTCTTGCGTCTATGAACGAAAGAACGAAGGAAACACTAGATGCACAAAAAGACAAGATGCACAAGGGGCCCGTTAAGGGGACACCCACCAGTGGCCTTCAGGGTCACCGAGGCCAGGAGGGACGGATGTTAATCGGCTGACAAAGATGTCCAGTGATGTAATTTCAATTATCAGGAAAAAAGAGGGTCACCCTATGCACATGGGCACATAATAAACAAACAGACTGTGTCTGGTGACCCGTCTGACCACACGGTCGACAAGCAACCTAAAGCAGATCAAATCTACAGCAAAGACCTGATGCTGCGGTCGACCGGAGAGCGGAGTTGAGTTTAATTTTTGAGTTTCCATCTGATTCTCATGTGTCTGAGAGCTTCTGGCATGGACCCGAGTCTGTCTGATGGCAGTGTTTTGCTTGAAGGTGCCTGAATACTAAAGAAAGTTCGAACCGAGCAAAGAACAGATAATAATGAGCTTAGAAGATGTGGATAGAGATGTGAATTTAAATTCAACAAGAATAAAGCCAGCTGGATTCAGAAGTTTTTGAATTGAATGTGCCCTAGCAGTGTTTTATATTTCAATATATATATACTTGCATGTTTAAAATAATGTACTAAATTGCAACTTTTTTTTCAAATATGTAATTACAAAATATTTGAAAATCAAGTTTCAACAGAAATGACTGTTGCTCATAAATGCTTGTTAGTACATTCAGCAGTACCTATTTAACCAGATTTCAAAGACAATAGAAGTAATTCTGAAATTACATATAAAGATGTACTTAAGTCCTACTCAAGTGAGTCAAAAAAGCACTCTAGCTAACTGCATTTTATATTAATATAAACAATCACACGTTTTCATTTAATTGTAATTCACATGCAATTAAGTGTCTGAAAACATTATATTAAGTTCGCACTTAAGTATATTATTTCCATAACATACTCTTTTTAAATGCATGCTAAAGTGTACTTCTTTTTCGCAAAAGGGGTGCTTACGTCAGGCATTGAAATATTCTCAACTTTGACTTCATTTCTGGAAACCTTTGCAATTTCCCTTTATATTCTTGCGATGCACATGAATTAATGGATTCACAACAAACTGTAGTGTCATTATTGTCATATTTATAGACAGACTGAACAGTGAAGAGTGACTCTACAGCGTCTCCACGTCATACGCAAACATGACACTCATGACGGCGGGTCACGTTAGTTAATGACAGATGGCTTTACGCCGCCAGCCCAAATGCCTCATGCTGGTGTAATGTGTTCAACAGGACGCTCAGAGTCACTCATCCTGAAAAGGAAATGCTTAGCACATATCCATACAGCAAAATATTGCTGGGAAAGTTTGAAAACGGAAACTAACAGCAATTGAAACAGCATTAAAGACCTCATAAGAGCTTCAGTTCATAATTGTAACTCAGAAAGCATTCCATCACTCACGGCAGCTTAATGCATTTGAAATGTTGGTTATTTGTCATTTGGTAGATGCTTATACTAAGGGACGGTCCATTGCTGGATTCCTGGTAATGTTGTTTTGCTGGAACTGTGGCCTAGAAGTAGCGCATGATTCAACACTCTGAGTCATGGAGCACATGTGGACGATGCAAGCTCAA